ATTCCAAAAGTAGTCGTAACATTGTCCCCTGACTATCTGTAAAAAAGTGTATGTTTCATATTCCTCCTGTAGAGGGACGTGCCCGATTTAAGGGCAGGGTAGCGGTAGTGGCCACTCGCTGGGCCCCAGGCGAGCCACCACCCCGGCGCGCGCGCTTGCGCGCGCGGCGCCTTCTTGCGGCCCGAGGGCGGCGGGCCGGGCTGGCCCACCGTGGCCGCCTGCTGCACGCCGAGGGGCTGGTTGTACACCTCGGGAGTCCCCGTCGAGGTCATCGTCGTCGCGAAGGAGGAGAAAGAGAGAGAGAGAGACAGACAGACAGACAGAGACAGAGACAGAAACAGAAACAGAAACAGAAACAGAAACAGAAACAGAAACAGAAACAGGAACAGGCATCAGACAGACAGACAGAAACAGACAGGGAGAGAGCGAGAGAGGGGCTCATCTTGAAATATTGATGATAATTTGGTTGCTGTTTAGATATATATATAATATATATATATATATTATATATATATATATATATGTATATATATACATACATATATATATGTATACATATATACATATATATACATATATATACTAAAGAGTATAAAGTAACATTAACCATCTATATATATATATCGTTTTGGAAACACTTGTTATTGGCAGGTTCTCTGGGTCCCGCCCGCGGACGGGCCACACCTCACAGGCGCGCCCCAGCCGTGCCTCGGGAATGAGGCCATGGCACGGAGCGCCGCACGGATTCCAGGCCAGCTCAAGAAGTGAAACGGCCCGGCTGTGCCTGGGGCCCTGGCCAGACTGCACTGGTGCGATCGCATCGCACCAGCGTGCTCCGCCAGACAGAAAGACAGGCAGACAGAAAGACAGACTGACGAAAGAAGATGAAGAGAGACCAGCGTTGATCCAAGACGCATCAACGCTGTTGCAACAAACCCTCACTCCACGCTTCCTCTTCATAAACAATGTGTTGCAAACATGTTTGCAATTGCGGGAAGTGCCCATTGGGAATCCTCAATCGAACCAAAACACAATTCTTGGGACTGCAACTACGCGAATCAGAGTGACTGCTGCGTCCTGACAATCCTAGATCGTGCCAGTAAACATGTTCAGGGACTCCGAACCGCGAATCAACGTCACTGGTGCGTCCGAACGGCCCTAAGATCGTGCCAGAACACCATTTCTGGGACTTCACACCGCGAACCAACGTGATCGCTGCGTCCTTACATTCCTAAGCCATGCCAGAACAGCGTTCCTGGGACTTCCATCCTACGGATCCGCGGCGCTGTTGCAAACCTTCCACACAAATGTGGGCGGCACCAAGGCGAGAGCAACATTTGGAGCAAGGCTCGCCCTCCCTCCGTGAAACTACCGTAAGCTTTCAAGACGACCGCGCGCGGCACACAGGCGACAGCCACTTTTTTATATATTAAAACCATAAATAATAAGTATTACATGTTCTACTATATATATATATATATATATATATATATATATATATATATATATATATATTATATATATATATATATAATATATATATATATATATAATATATATATACAAACAATAGCCTGACGAAGGACCCAACCATGTGCAGGTGTGAATACCGCAGTTGACACTACCAATTTCGGTGGGGCTCCCTATAGGGCCAAGAAACGTGTGAAGGGGATGGGTGTGCGGGACGCATGCGGGCGGCAGCACTGGGGCCTTCGGTGGAGCTCCCTATGGGGCCACGAAACGTGTGAGGGAGTTGACGAAATTGGTGTGGCTGACGCATGCGGGCGCGGGCACTGGGGCCTTCGGTGGAGCTCCCTATGGGACCACGAAACGTTTGAGGGGTGTGCCGAAATGGGTGTGGCTGACGCATGCGGGCGCGGGCACTGGGGCCTTCGGTGGAGCTCCCTATGGGGCCACGAAACGTGTGAGGAGTGTGACGAAATGGGTGTGGTTGACGCATGCGGGCGCGGGCACTGGGGCCTTCGGTGGAGCTCCCGATGGAACCACGAAACGTGTGAGGGGTGTGCCGAAATGGGTGTGGCTGACGCATGCGGGCGCGGGCACTGGGGCCTTCGGTGGAGCTCCCTATGGAGCCACGAAACGGGTGAGGGGTGTGCCGAAATGGGTGTGGGTGACGCATGCGGGCGCGGGCACTGGGGCCTTCGGTGGAGCTCCCTATGGAGCCACGAAACGTGTGAGGGGTGTGCCGAAATGGGTGTGGGTGACGCATGCGGGCGCGGGCACTGGGGCCTTCGGTGGAGCTCCCCATGGAGCCACGAAACGTGTGAGGGGTGTGCCGAAATGGGTGTGGGTGACGCATGCGGGCGCGGGCACTGGGGCCTTCGGCGGAGCTCCCTATGGAGCCACGAAAAGTGTGAGGGGTGTGCCGAAATGGGTGTGGGTGACGCATGCGGGCGCGGGCACTGGGGCCTTCGGAGGAGCTCCCTATGGAGCCACGAAGCGTGTGAGGGGTGTGCCGAAAGGGGTGTGGGTGACGCATGCGGGCGCGGGCACTGGGGCTTCACGCGACCGTTCTATGGAGCCACGAAAAAACGTGAGGGGGGGTGCAGAATTGTGTGTGGCTGGAATGACGCATGCGGGGCGCGGGCACTGGAGGGCCTTCGGTGGAGCTCCCTATGGTTTGCACCGGGGGGGAAACGGTGAGGGGTTTGGCCGAATTGGGTGTGGCTGACGCATGCGGGCGGCAGCACTGGGGCATTCGGTGGAGCTCCCTATGGGGCCACGAAACGCGTGAGGGGTGTGCAGAATTGGATGTGGCTGACGCATGCGGGCGGCAGCGGTGGGGCCTTCGGTGGAGCTCCCTATGGGGCCACGAAACGTGTGAGGGGTGTGCCGAATTGGGTGTGGCTGGCGCATGCGGGCGGCAGCACTGGGGCCTTCGGTGGAGCTCCCTATGGGGCCACGAAACGTGACGATGATTTGCCGAAATGGGTGTGGCTTACGCATGCGGGCGCGGGCACTGGGGCCTTCGGTGGAGCTCCCTATGGAGCCACGAAACGTGTGAGGGGTGTGCCGAAATGGGTGTGGCTGACGCATGCGGGAGCGGGCACTGGGGCCTTCGGTGGAGCTCCCTATGGAGCAACGAAACGTGTGAGGGGTATGCCGAAATTGGTGTGGGTGACGCATGCGGGCGCGGGCACTGGGGCCTTCGGTGGAGCTCCCTATGGAGCCACGAAACGTGTGAGGGGTGTGCCGAAATGGGTGTGGGTGACGCATGCGGCCGCGGGCACTGGGGCCTTCGGTGGGGCTCCCTATGGAGCCACGAAACGTGTGAGGGGTGTGCCGAAATGGGTGTGGGTGACGCATGCGGGCGCGGGCACTGGGGCCTTCGGTGGAGCTCCCTATGGAGCCACGAAACGTGTGAGGGGTGTGCCGAAATGTGTGTGGGTGACGCATGCGGGCGCGGGCACTGGGGCCTTCGGTGGAGCTCCCTATGGAGCCACGAAACGTGCGAGGGGTGTGCCGAAAATGGGTGTGGGTGACGCATGCGGGGCGGGGGGGGGCACTGGGGCCTCGGTGGAGGCTCCCGAGCTCCCTTATGGAGCAACGAAAAACGTGTGAGGTGTGTGCGAATTAGGTGTGTGGGTGACGCATGCGGGGCTAGGGCACTGGGGCATTCGTTGACGATACCATAAACACGTATATCTAGTATACTTTCGTGTTCATTATAATGGGCCACGAAAACGTGTGAGGGATGTCCGAATTGGGTGGGGTGACGCATGCGGGCGCGGGCGGCACTGGGGTTCGGTGGAGCTCTTCTATGGGAGCCACGAAAACGTCGTGGCTGGTGTGAGGGGCACATGTGCCGAATTGGGTGTGGGTGACGCATGCGGGGGCGGCCACTGGGGCCTTCGGTGGAGCTCCCTATGGAGCCACGAAACGGTGTACTGGGTGGGTGAAGAGGAAAGGAGGAGAGGAGGGGAGGAGAGGAGGAGAGGAGAGGAGAGGAGAGGAGAGGAGAGGAGAGGAGAGGAGAGGAGAGGAGAGGAGAGGAGAGGAGAGGAGAGGAGAGGAGAGGAACGCGGGCCACCGTCTCTTCAAAACGAGGACCCAACACCACAGGATGGTTGGGGGGAGAAAAAAAACAACAACAAAAAACAAAACAAAAAAAAAACAAAAAAACAAAAAAAAAAAAAAAAGGAAAAACAAAAAAAAATAAAAAAAAAAAAAAAAAAAAAAAAAAAAAAAAAAAAAAAAAAAAAAAAAAAAAAAAAAAAAAAAAAAAAAAAAAAAAAAAAAACACGGCCCGCCCTCCGTCCGTGGAGCTGCTGCGAATTGCAAGCTCCGGGATCCCGGGATCGCAAGTGCTGGGGGACCCCCCGACGCAACGCCAGGCCCGCCCCACCGACACGCCTGGGAGTGCGAGAGGAGCTATCTGTGAGGACTAGGACCACGCGCGCCTCGCGCGCGCTCAGGTTCTAGCCCAGCCAAGGGCGCTGTGATGACACAAAGGTGAGGGTTTGCGGGCGACTCGCTGTCGGAAAGGACTGTGACCGTCTTGGGCCAGTTATGGGATGTTGCAGAGCTTCCATGGACTGGCGTTTGGGCTGTTAGGTACTGTCTTGGGGGGGGGGGGGGGGGCAGGTGTCTTTGGCCTCAACGGCGCCACCCAGGGTTGCCAGATAGTTGTCACCACACGCAAGTCTTGGCTTGCGGTTCGTCGGGGAGATCGCTGAACCGCCTTGGGGCATTGACTGGCTTTATGATGGAATGTCGAGGCCGTAGTTTGCTGGTCTTTGGGTGTTGTCACATTTTCTTGGCCTGTCTGGCCGAGCACGTGCGGGAGGGGCGAGGAACGACGGAGGACGAAAACCTGCCTTGAAAGAGAATACACGCGATGCCACTCCAACTGGTGGAGCACGTGCAGAAGGAACCAGGAACGCCAGAGGAAGGAGGGCAAACTGACTTGAGATATATATATATATATATGTGTATGTATATATATATATACATATATATATATATTACACGCGCTCTGTCACGTCGGGTGGCGGAACACTGGAAGGAAGATCGAGGAAAGACGGAGGAAGGAGGGAACACAGCCTGATTATTGAGTGCATGCGCTGTCACGCCAGCTGGCGGAGCACGTACAGGACGAAGGAGGGTAGCGGAGTACGGAGAGAAAGCTGCCTTGAAACAGCCTGCACGCGCTGTCCCGCCGGCTGGCGGAGCACGCGCGAGAGGGACGAGTAAAGACAGAGACACGAGGCAGAAGGATAGAATTATG